GCAAAGTTTGGAAAGATTTCTCTCTGTATATCCAGAGGTCACCTGAAGGGGGAGCCTCTGACTGACCCAATGCTGTGTTCATTCTGGAAGGTGTTTAGACATAATGTCCCACTTTCTCTTAATTTATTAAAGTAAATACTTACTTTACTTTTCTTGTAGAGTGACTAAATGTTGTAAGCTGCTGTAAAAATTTTAATCTGATATTTTGTAACTATTCAACATTAATCCAGAATGATTTGCGAAACAATGGAGCCGTAACAAAGTCAATGTTTATTCGATGCTTGGTTTCAAAATTTTACCAGAATTGAAATCCGTGAATTTTCGGCTGAAAACATAAACAGTACATACACTTTGATGCATCATTTACACATTATTAAACATTACAACACATAGTATTTTTTTGTTCCTTTTATGAGTCTGAATAAAAAAAAAGCTTGTATAAAATGTAATTTATCAGCTGTTTTCCACGTGAACTTTTTCAAAATGTTCCAATTATTGTGATAAATACAAACATATTTTTGTTGTAATGATTTTTGTGATGTGAATACAAATACTGTTAACATCTCAACATTCTCAAATAAACTCTTGTGATAAGTTATTGTTTCTCACGGGTATTTTTTATGTAATCCAAATAGTTTAAGAAATATGATATAATACTTTTTAGTTTGAAATATATCTAAGTGTGTACCTTAACTGATCAAAGTAAAATATATATTTTTTAATCAAACATAGATCCTATAGAGTCAAAATGTAAAGTGAAAACAAGACAACCCCATAATGGAGCCTTGCTGAGCTCCACGTGTCAGTGGGGCGGTTGATAAATATTTAAGCAGGGGCGGATTTAAGAAATTTGGGGCCCTAGGTAAAAATAGGCAGGGGGCCCTCTGAATTAAGAAGACAACACATAATGTTAATAGAATAGACATCCATTATTTGTTCTAGGTTTTGTCCCTCTCTTCTTGTTGTTTTCCTCTCTATGCTTTGTACTCAGCTGACTTTTCATGCTGTCTCTAAAGGAATGACAGATTTTTCCAAGCACTAAGCTCACTTAGCTGATTGCTCCTTCCTGTGTTTCCAAAAAGGCGACGGCAAAAGTAAATACCCCAGTCCTTCTTTTCACTGTAGACAAGCCATGATCTGCTTATCTGTTCTCCATTTTTCATTTGGATGGACAATATTACAAAAGACATACCTAATAGCGTTCTGATGTCATTTTAGTGAAAGGATTTTTATCAAAAACATAATTATACATGTACATAGGGGCCTAATGATATCTCACCGCTTATATTAATTTGTTTCAGGAAATTGTTGGGATCTGGGGATGTACCACCTTTCTCCAGCAGAGTGCGCCGTGGGTCTCCTGGGCTGGAGCCCTCCAGCACACCTGGAGCTCGTCAGCCCATCAGGAGACCTTCCCTACATAAGCAGCTGCCAGACCTTCCTTCAACGCCGCAGTGTTGACCTAGTTTGGTTAGCAAACCTGAGCCTCTGTTACCTGAAAGAATCTTAGTCATCTCATGAGAGAAACCTGATTCTAATCTGCCTCTGTCTTTGCTCACAGGAAACCTGTCTCAAGTCTGAAGCTCTGGATGAGCTTAACCTGACTGCCAACCCTGGTGAGCCAAACCTGAAGATTCCAATCTGGATATCTCCTGCTGCTCTCAGAGAAGAGCTGGAAACTCTGATCAAGGTCTGCCATTCAAAGTCAGAAGCTAGACGCTGCTGCTGCTTGTGCACTCTGCTGAACCAACAGTCTCTGGACCCAACGGTTCCCTCTCTCACAAGTAAAGCCTGGACCTCTTCAAGGTAGACTCTGAATTATCCTAAGACTCAATCATCTGACTGCCTGGCTAATCAAACTGTCCATCTCTGCAGACATCAGTGATCCCAACCCGGACCAGTACCTGAACCAGTTCATGTCTTTGTGTGAAAACTTCTTTCAATAAACTCTGTTAAACTTTTACTCAGCCTCTGTTTGTGTTCTGCATGTGGGTTTAGCTTTAAACCAATCATGACAGAAATCTTGAAGCTTTTGTTGTTTTGAGGTGAGAGTGGGACAAATTTCTTATAGCCTGTAGTTGTTTTATGTTTATAGGATTAAATACATTGATAAAAACTGCCTAATATATTCTAGTATAATTGAAGGTGTATTTTAAAAATGGATCTTCAGTTCCTCCTTAATATGTGTCTGACACCATATTAATGCTTTCTTTCAAGCAGATTGACATTTTTAATAACATGGGTTCCGCAAAATATTATGTTTCCTTAAAGCTTTGGATAGACATTTCACCTTATGCATCATCTACTTTCTTTTTTCTCCCAGAAATATCCTAACAGCTAATGTGTCATTCAAAGGAAAGGTCTGGTTTGAACTGTCAAATTACCTTAGCAGGGTATTTTAAGCTGGTCAAAATACAGGTTAAGTTAAACATCCGATTCCTGGCGGAACATTTTATCAAAGACAAAGACGTCTTTTCAGGTTTGTTTTTTTCACAAATTATTTTCCTTTCATTACACAGTTATGCACTTTATGTGGTTGGTTTATCAAAATCCCAACAAAAATCATGTCAATTTGTGATGCGTGTAGAAAAAATCTGAAAACAGAGTCAAGCAGAGTCAAAGTCACCTACTTTATAACTAATAATGCAACATGCAAGCTATGCACAATTATGAAGAGATTATCAAGGTGAATATTTTAAAGGAGAGGTCCGGTCATATTCAGAATGCAAACTTCTGAAAGTTCTTTAAATATGAAATTATTACATCCTGTTCAATAAATGAGTAAATGGAAAAGAAATGTTTTTAATTCAGAGTAGTTTTCATTTGAATGTGTTTTACTGGAGGCATCCATGTTTGTCAAAGAACACCACTGCCACCTACTGGTTTGTGACGTCACGGTGCGGTATCGGCTGTTGATCAAGTCCCAGTGCTGTATCTGGTGTTTGTCACAACGTGTTATTATCCAAGTCATCTTGTAAACATTCTTCTTCCAAATGTTGGCTACATATTAAGTGCTTTTTCTCTGGCCAGAAGTCCAATGGCAAATCCTCCCTCTTCAACCATGAACCCATCCGTGGAGGATCAGGAATGGGAAAGGTGAAATAACACTTTTTTTCACTTTTACCCGATGTATTCCAACATCCAGCTGCCATGCACGTGGGCATTGTGAGTTTTACTATAGCTCTGGTGAATTTCAATGGTGAAGTCCTCTGGAAATCTTCAATAATTGTTGTTGATTGCAGATGTGTCTAGTAGTTCCCATTGATTTTGCTTGTAAAGCGGGGAGAATGGCGCTAGGCTTACCGCACCGTGACGTCACTGCTGGAAGATGGCAGGAGAGAGGTGTGACTATATTTGGGCAAAGATGGCCGCTACCGGACTCAGTGATCGCTAAAAAAATTATTGTTTTTATTTTTTTACTGATCGACGCTAAATTCATTTCATCAAAGCAAAGGCATTAGTTTTTTGGTATAACTAATTATCCATAGATTATTCCTTGCTGACTGGACATTTCCTTTAGAGTAATTTCACTATGAATATACTAATATGCACTGGGCATATTTTCTCATTATATTTGCTTCTTCATGCAGTTTTATTGATGCATGCTGCAATTATGCCTCCTCCTGAGATGCCTTTATCCAAACCTTTAATTGTTTTCAAACACAGCAAAATGTGGTAAAATATTTACAGCTCACAAATGTTCTTACAAATCCCTTTTCCCCTTCATAGGTTTAAGTGTTTACAGTAGAATAAAAACACCTTAATGGGGCACAAAGTCCACAGCGTCATACTTATATTACCTCTTTTCCAAATGTTGCATGCTGCATTCACTGCATTCAATGTAAAAGTCCAAATCTTATCAACACAGATTCGCTGTTTTTTTTGTGTTTTTTTTTTCTTTTTCAGATACTGCATAAAATTAAGTAAGTAGGATTATTACAATGTAATAACGAGGATTCCAAGAATCCTCGTTATGCGGCCTATAAATGCGTCCTTCTTTTTGCCCGATTTAAAGGACGGGTCCGATGTAACCTATCTATCCTTGGATATCCCAGGATTCATTGCGAGACCAAGCAAGCCGGCTGCTCCGTGATCAAAGGAAATGGTACTTAGTGCCGAACAGTGGTGAATATTGGAAGTTCAGTTTAATAAAACATAAGTTTGAATAGATTGGTGAATATTTATGTCTGAAATTAATGAAAATAGTTGTTTTAATGGTTATTGAGTCAGATATGTGGCGGTGATGTTTGATTCATCTAAAGGTTTTTATCTGTTACTGTGTAAATGGGTTTGGCTGCAATTTAAGGACAGATTCTAATATATCTGCAGTGTGGGGACTATAAATCTGATAGGATTTTTATTTTTTTATTGCTATTTTGCACAATTTGCTTAACTAAGTATTTTTTTGTTGCTGAATATTAGAGATTTTGCAGATATTTTTTTATACATACATTGTTTAGATTTACTTATATATTTCTACCCCTTTTATAGAATAGAATAAAAAATCTCTTGATTGTCCCACAATGGGCAAATTTACAGCAGCAGAAAGATTATTGAAAATGTTCACACAAATTGGACCTTAGAAACATCTATAAGAATGACATAATAGGGAAGAGTTAAATATAAACAATCAAATACTGTACTGTAAAGTGTTTTAACAATATCAAACTGTGCATGTGGAGAATAAATAACCATTATACAGCTATGGACATTTTTACAGTAATTGATATTTGAAAATAGCAGAAACATCAGAGATGTGCAAAATGACAGCAGCATGTTGGTTTATATCATTACATTTGCTTTTATTTGTTTATGCTTATTCCACTCTGGGTTCACGAGTGAAGTTTTTGTTCACTTCACAATAAAAATACATAAAAAGAAACAGTTTTGAAAAGTTCTTCCGGTCTCCTTACTTTCAAGGACTTCAAAGGATACAGTCCAATTAGACCAACATCCTCTGGAAGGCGCAGCCCAGAAATCCGAACAGAATAGACTGCTATCAAAAGATTACGCTGAATGCTGTTTCCGCTCCCTGATAGAGGAATTTCCCACAGGTTCTTGAACGCACCAGTTGTTCACCGTTCAGAAGACGAGAGGAAGAGGCCCGGGAAAAGTTACCGTAAGAACAGACTTTTATGTTTCTTTAACCATACCTACGGATACATTTGTAAACTTAGTATAAAACTTATTTTTGGCAAAACACTTTGATGATGTTTGATGTGTTATTGGCGTTAAACGAATCAGATTAACGGTCGTAGAGAATCCTTAAAGATCAAGTTGCATCCTCTTTAAAACAGTTTCTTAAATAAGCGGAAATGAAAGTTTTTATCGAATATATTGGGATATTTATCCTCAGGCTTACAAAGCTAATGTCTGTTGGTGTTTCTGTGAGTTTGCGGACCGTTTTTTTCCATCTAAAGCGGCTGTCCTGCCTGTAAAGGCTGTCACCGAGGACCGTTTACTGACCGTTTACTGACTGTTAACAGCAGCTTCGCGTCTATAACACCTGTTTTCAGAACTTTATGGTAAATGTGTTCATTTGACTTTGAAAAACCTTCTCCTTTCTTCGCTAAAGCCACATTTTAATCGGAGGAAACAACTTGGTCTCCAAAATGTGACGAAACATCAGTCACGTGACGATAATTGGAGCCCTGCATCATTATCATGTCATATCAGATAAACATTTCAGATGGTTTTGTTATGGAAAAGAATGTGACGTGATTAATTTTCTAGGATAAGAGAAACTATCTTGATTTGAGCAATAAATATTCATCTCTTTCAGAGGTACATAAAACCCTACAGACTCTGTATTAAAGGGGTGATAGAATGATTCTATAGGGTATCTGGTCCTTAAGGTCTCTGAATAGGGTGTGTAACATTGGTTAGGGTTAAAAATGGCATATTTGCTGTTTGCTGAGCCCTAATTTAAGCATGGTTAGAAGCTCAGGGTCACCAATTTAACATTCAGCCGGTCCGAATAAAGAAAATCATCAACCAGTAAAGGTCCAGAGACCTTTTTTATGATTTGTTACTTTGAACAGAATTTAACGCTGAAATAAAATGAGGTTTTTATGCATCCATGATATAGGCCTACATTGAATTTTTAAGTAAAAGCATAATAAAAAAAGAAAAAATTCCATTTTAAAATCTAAAGTGTTGTTTTGAAGTAGAGAACAACAATCGTTCAGTTTGGTATATAGACAATTTCCTGATAAACATATTTTTTAAAACACCTGAAATGACAGTTTGTTACTGTTTTTTTTATCTCTTTTTTCTATTTTAATGTTCGCAGTGGGCTTTATGCTGCCCTGCAAGGCTTTAAACCTGGGTTTGAATGGAGACTAAGGCCCCGTCCACACGAAGTCAAACCCTGGCCTAAACGCACAAATTTTTCACCAAACCAGCCTCACATCCATACGAAGCCTGCGTTTCGGGGTCTGTAAACAATCTTTTTTTTATTCAGCCTTCAGAGTGGGAAGATTTTGAAACGCCGTTTTCGCGTTTCCATCTTTAAGCTCTAACCGCATTTTTTTTTTTTTTACACGCATGCGTCATAGCGTCGCCTCTAAACACGCATGCGCGAGACAGTATCACAACAACAATGGCGCCGTACTGTGTTGAATGGTTGCTGCTCATGCTACTCACCCTGCTGTCGGGCTTACAACAGAATCTTCTTCTTCTGGAATATCTCCAGGAAGAACAGAGCAATATCGACGACATAGTTCAGCACCTGAATTTGACCACAAAAATGGACCCGCAAGGCAACCATGTATAAATATTAGTGCGCATGCCCAACATTTCGTCGCCTATTTTTGCTTTGGCACCACAGCGCCACTTACAGGCCTGGCATACATTTTGCAGCGTTTTCATGCATTCGTGTGGACGATCACATTTATTTTACGTCTCCGTCTTTACGACAAACGTTCTGGCAAATATTAGCGTTTCGTGTTCGTTTTGACTTCGTGTGGACGGGGCCTAAGCCATTCTCAAGCACATATCAAGGTGCTCATTTTGAGCCTGCATCCAGATTTATTTTTGATTCTGTTCATGGTGGAGAATCCTGCTTCACAGCAGCAGGTTGAGCCAAACATCCTCTAAATGTGCAGGGTCATCTTTGAGCACGCCATTTCACTTTTCTGTCACAAGTTCACCGCGCTTCTTCCAGCAGTCTACACTTTCTTTAACGTTTTCTCATCATCGTTACCCATCGCCCAGCTTGTCACAGGTTTGCCTGCTGTGTCTATAACTAGCTAGCGGCAGCAGCCCTGACTAACGCAGCTCATTGGCTAATTTGTATCACGTGTAGCCTGGTCCCAGACAGTTTGATCGTAGAAACAGGAGAAGCAGCGCAAGTGAAATCAGACTTTGCCGTCGGACAACATGCAGTAATTTATAAATGTTTTAAATCAGGTTGGGTCCAGTTCCGGCCAGTCACAGTCAGAGAAACAGGACTACACTGAAAACAAGCAGATCTCCAACATCTATTAACAAAGGTCTTGATGGCAGCAGCACAGCTGATCGACCCTGGTACTTGCAACCACAAGCACACCGCTCTAAGCCAGAGGTCACGAATTAGCGTCCAGGGGTCCGGATCTGGACCCACCTGCTGGCTAACCTGGATCCAACTTGATTTAAAACATTTATAAATTACTGCATGTTGTCGGTCGACAGTGTCTAACGTCACTTGTGCCGCTTCTCCGTTTAACACGGTAAAGCCCTCCAGAGCGTCCAGCACCAGGTTGCATGTGATCCAAATCAGCCAATGAGCTGACAGTCTATGTTGCTGCTGCTGCTACTTTTAGACACAGCAGGCAAACCTGTGGGAAGCCGGGCGATGGGAAAGAAGCAGAAGACCATGAGAAAAAGAGAGCAGAGAAAGTGTGGACTGCTGGAAGAACTGCGGTGAACTGGTGACAGAAAAGTGAAATGGCGTGCTCAAAGATGACCCTGAACATTTAGAGGATGTTTGGCTCAACCTGCTGCTGTGAAGCAGGATTCTCCACCATGAACAGAATCAAAAATAAATCTGGATCCAGGCTGAAAATGAGCTCCTTGACATGTGCTTGAGAATGGCTTAGTCTCCATTTAAACCCAGGTTTAAAGCCTTGCAGGGCAGCCTAAAGCCCACTGCCAACATTAAGACAGAAAAAAGAAAAATAACAAACTGTCATTTCAGGTGTTTTATAAAATATGGGAATCAGGAAATTGTTTATATACAGGTGCTGGTCATAAAATTAGAATATCATGAAAAAGTAGATTGATTTCAGTAATTCCATTTAAAAAGTGAAACTTGTATATTATATTCATACATTACATACAAACTCATATATTTCAGATGTTTATTTTGTTTAATTTTGATGATTACAAATGACAACAAATGAAAATCTCAAATTCATCATATCAGAAAATTAGAATATTACTGAAGACCAATAAAAACAAAGGATTTATAGAAATGTTGGCCAACTGAAAAGTATGAACATGAAAAGTATGAGCATGTACAGCACTCAGTATTTAGTTGGGCCTCCTTTGGCCTGTATTACTGCAGCAATGCGGCGTGGCATGGAGTCGATCAGTCTGTGGCACTGCTCAGGTGTTATGATAGCCCAGGTTGCTCTAATAGTGGCTTTTAGCTCTTCTGAATTGTTGGGTCTGGTGTATTGCATCTTCTTCTTCACAATACCCCATAGATTTTCTATGGGGTTAAGGTCAGGAGAGTTTGCTGGCCAATTAAGAACAGGGATACCATGGTCCTTCAACCAGGTACTGGTAGCTTTGGCACTGTGTGCAGGTGCCAAGTCCTGTTGGAAAATGAAATCTGCATCTCCAAAAAGTTGGTCAGCTGCAGGAAGCATGAAGTGCTCTAAAACTTCCTGGTATGTGGCTGCGTTGACCCTGGACCTCAGAAAACACAATGGACCAACACCAGCAGATGACATGGCACCCCAAACCATCACTGACTGTGGAAACTTTACACTGGACTTCAAGCAACGTGGATGAAGTGCCTCTCTTCTTTTCTTACAGACTCTGGGACCTTGATTTCCAAAGGAAATGCAAAATTTACTTTCATCAGAGAACATGACTTTGGACCACTCACCAGCAGTCCAGTCCTGTTTCTCTTTAGCCCAGGCAAGACGCTTCTGACGCTGTCTGTGGTTCAAGAGTGGCTTGACACAAGGAATGCGACAGCAGAAACCCATGTCTTTCATACGTCTGTGTGTGGTGGTTCTTGAAGCACTCACTCCAGCTGCAGTCCACTCTTTGTGAATCTCCCCCACATTTTTGAATGGGTTTTGTTTCACAATCCTCTCCAGGGTGCGGTTATCTCTCTTGCTTGTACACTTTTTTCGACCACATCTTTTCCTTCCCTTCGCCTCTCTATTAATGTGCTTGGACACTGAGCTCTGTGAACAGCCAGCCTCTTTAGCGATGACCTTTTGTGTCTTGCCCTCCTTGTGCAAGGTGTCGATGGTCGTCTTTTGGACAACTGTCAAGTCAGCAGTCTTCCCCATGATTGTGTAGCCTATAGAACTAGACTGAAAGACCATTTAAAGGCTTGTGCAGGTGGTTTGAGTTAATTAGCTGATTAGAGGGTGGCACCAGGGGCCATCAATTTTGAACCTTTTCACAATATTCTAATTTTCTGATATGATGAATTTGAGATTTTCATTTGTTGTCATTTGTAATCACCAAAATTAAACAAAATAAACATCTGAAATATATGAGTTTGTATGTAATGTATGAATATAATATACAAGTTTCACTTTTTAAATGGAATTACTGAAATCAATCTACTTTTTCATGATATTCTAATTTTATGACCAGCACCTGTACCAAACTGAACGATTGTTGTTCTTTACTTCAAAAAACACTTTAGATTTCAAAATGGAAAAATTTTATATTTTGTAAAATATTTTTAAAATAAAAAAATTCAATGTTTAACAAGAAAGCATAAAAACCAAATTTTCGTTCAGTGTTAAATGCTGTTCAAAAGTAACAGATTATAGTTAAAAATGTCTCTTATTGGGTGTTGATTTTCTTTATTTTGACCCTGCTGATTTTTAAATGGTTTCCCCTGTTCTATCAAATCGCTCTAATGCATTGCTTGATCTCTGCGATGTTGTATCTCCTTGCTTTGCAGCAGGATCAATTTGGCCTTTTTTTCATTTTTTTGTAATCTCCATTTGCCGTCTTTAATATATTAAGTTCTATTGCCGACAAATGTCCAGTTTGTGACTATTTCTTCTGTTGCCATGGTGGATTTTGAAGGCGAAATCCTAAATATCAAAAAATCAATTGCTTTCTGCTCAGAATAGGGTAATCAGACATCCTAAAACAGGGCCCCGATGGAGTGGGATATTTTATAGATCGGTCAATGTCAATAAAGAGTACTTCAAATCTATCTCAGCAGAACTATGTTGCCTCTGTTATTATTTGATGTTGTAATAATGTAGTGTTTCTAGGGCTGCAACTAACGATTATTTTAAAAATCGATGAATCGGACGATTATTTTTTCGATTAATCGATGAATCGGACAAAAAATATTTTTTATATTAACCTCTTTATTCCAAAATAAACATTTTAGACAGAACAAACAAGCACACAAGTACAGGTTGCTCATTAACTGTACTGGTGCAATATGAAAAATAAATGTTTGTGTTAAAACTACGCAAACTTACATGAGAAATGTAGCTGTACATCCACAAAATATAGGCTACTTTGTTTCATAAAGCGCAAAAAAAGACATTTTTGTTTTTAAAAGCCTCTAAGGGGTTCAAACAATAGGCCCCCCCCATTTCAACAAATAAGTTTTTTTTAGACTAGAAGAGTTCTGCCTTTTAAGACAGGAAAGTATAGCAGTTAAAGTTGCTACTGAGAAAATACTGAACCATAGAGATAAAAATAGCCCTGTGGTTCAAATTATAAATTGTATTTGGAATAAAAATGAGAGAACTAGGGGTGCTAAAAAAAAACACATCCTCCAAAGACAGATATTTACATGGGAATGTGGCAGATAATTAATTGACATATTACTGATCTTGCTGGATTTTATTCTGCTTTACTTCCATAAATTGCAGGATCTTCTTTACTTTATCTTTGCCAGAAGATTTAAACTTTAAAAGCCTTGCCCTCATAATTTGCAAGTTAATTTATTTATAAAGAAAATATAAACGCTGCTTAAGCTAATTCAAATGAAATTAAAAGTAAAATAAGTAGCCAACCTTATCACTGTCTGTAACCTACTAACACGGTAAGGAAAGCATCAGATGAGCTACCTGAGAAACTAACGTTACGTTTCCCCACTTTAAAACCAAACAAACATGGTGCTTCCGTGCCATGTTCATTTCTTTTGAAAAAAAGTTGCGTGTTATCACTTTTTTCGCTTTACAAAGCGCAGGCTATTTTAATTATTGTGATCAATCTGCGCCGTCAATCCCGGTGCATGCGCGCTTCATTTGCAGTCTGGACGCTGAGGCTCTGAATGCAGCTGAGAGGGACTCCTGCGGGAGCGGGGGGAGGCGCCCCACGGCAGAGTAGGAACGATACGTGCTTTCACGTAAGAGTCTCCAAAAGCCGCCAGTGACACCGTAAAAAGTCGGCATATTTGTCGCTAGTCGCTTTTTTGAAAAATAGTCGCTGGAGGGGTCTGAAAAGTCGCTGAGTTGGTAACACTGCTCCTGCGGCGCTGACTCGCTCTGCCATATTTTTTTTTCTTCCTCTTTCAGTCAAGAGGCAGTGATGACGGCGCGGCGGATGACGCAATAATCGCGCGACACAACTAATCGATGATGAAATTCGTTGCCAACGCTTTTAAAAGTCGATTTTTATCGATTTTATCGATTCGTTGTTGCAGCCCTAAGTGTTTCACTCCACATTGGCCATGTTGCACCTCTGTGGCGTTAAATGGTCTGAGTAGCCCTTGTGTTAAAGCACCTCCTCCGACACCCTGCTGGGAAATTATCGTTCTTGTTTGATCTCAAACATCTTAATGCAAAATAAAGTCAACATTTTCTTTCTGCTATACTTCTGGACCAGTCTTAATACTTCACCAGTCTACTTCTGGTGTGTACTACTCCCTTCAGAGGAAAGCACAAACAGGCTCTAACCAGAGTAGAAAAAGAAGTGGGAGGCGGCGTTGCACAACTGAGCAAGAAGATAAGTACATTAGAGTCTCTACTTTGAGAAACAGATGCCTCACAGGTCCCCAACTGGCATCTTCATTAAATATTACCCGCAGTAGCCTGTTGGTGCTGTCCTCTGAAGGGAGTAGTACACACCGTTGTAGGATATTTTCAATTTCTTAGCAATTTCTCGCATGGAATAGCCTTCATTTCTAAGAACAAGAATAAACTGTCGAGTTTCAGATCAAAGTTCTCTTTTTCTGGCCATTTTGAGCGTTTAATTAACCCCACAAATGTGATCCTCCAGAAACTCAATCTACTCAAAGGAAGGTCAGTTTTGTAGCTTCTGTAACAAGCTAAACTGTTTTTAGATGTGTAAACATGATTGCACAAGGGTTTTCTAATCATCAATTAGCCTTCTGAGCCAATGAGCAAACACATTGTACCATTAGAACACTGGAGTGATAGTTGCTGGAAATAGGCCTCTATACACCTATGTAGATATTGCACCAAAAACCAGACATTTGAAGCTAGAATAGCCATTTACCACATTAGCAATGTATAGAGTGCATTTCTTTAAAGTTAAGACTAGTTTAAAGTTATCTTCATTGAAAAGTACAGTGTTTTTCCTTCAAAAATAAGGACATTTCAATGTTACCTCAAACTTTTGAACAGTAGTGTATGTTATCACATTTATTCACAGGTGAGGATAAACCAAAACAGAAAAAATAAATAAACTAATCTCTAAAGTTTGATGTAAGCCAGGCGGAAGAGTCTTGGCTGAAATGTTAGAAGAGGAGCCACTGGTTATCGAAGAACTGGAGAGTTTCTCTCTCTGGAGTCTGGCTCTTTATTCTCCAGACTCCTCCTCTATCATTAGTCAGGTGTTCTGAGTCAGAACGTCTCAGGTGAACCACCGTACACACCGCTACCATAACAACCACTGCTAATGTCACCTGTTGAATGTCTCATTATCCCAGCGGGTCTTCACAGGAGATCTGCTTAGACCATTTCTGAACTTATCTGCACAGTTTGCTTTTTTTTTGTTTATATTTGGCAGAAAACAGAAAATCAGGGTTTTACCTATTGGCAGAGTTGATCTAAATGTGTTCTAGTACAGACATGATGTCCTAACATTATTTTCAAAGTATCAACAGGGTTGAATTCTACACCTTTCTAAAGATGTTTCTGGTCGATTGATTTATCCACAAACAAACCCAGCTTCTTTTATTGTTGAAGATCCTGCTATGCTGAGAGATGCCAGGGACGGGTCAGACTAGTCCCTGTTTGTGGACGCCGCTCCCTCAGAGCCACCTGTGTCCGGGTGACCGCTGCAAACACGCCTGCTGCAGCTATAACGGGGACGTCTACGTCCTGGGAGGAAGGGACAACAGCTGCCTGGGAGACTTCTGGAAGTACAGTGTTGGTAAAGGCCCTCAATGAACACATGATTCCCATTAATAATATAGCTTTTTAAAGGAAAAGTCTGGGCATATTCAGAATACAAACTTCTGAAAGTACTTAAAATATGAAATTATTACATACTGTTCAATAAATGTTAAGTGTTTTTAATTCAGAGTAATTATCATTTTAATGTGCTTTACTGGAGGCATCTATGTTTGTCAAAGAACACTACTGCCACCTACTGGTTTGTGACGTCACGATGCGGTATCGGCTGTTGATCAAGTCCCAGTGCTGTATCTGGTGTTTGTCACAACAAGTCATCTTGAAAACATTCTTCTTCCAAATGTTGGCTACATATTACGTGTTTTTTCTCTGGCCAGAAGTTTGTTGGTAAATCCTCCCTCTTCAAGTTGGCAATCCAACGACCAACCCGTCCGTGGAGGATCAGGAATCGGAAAGGTGGAATAACTCTCTTTTTTTACTTTTACCCGATGAATTCCAACATCCGACTGCCATGCACGTGGGCATTGTCAGTTTCACTATAGCTCTGGTGAATTGAGGTAGTTCCCATTGATTTTGCTTATAAAGCAGTGAGAATGGCGCTAGGCTTACCGCACAGTGACGTCACTGCCGGAAGATGTCAAGTTGGCCGCTCCCAGACTCTGACTTCTGACTGCGAAAAATATTGTTTTTATTTTTTTACTGATTAATCCTAAATTCATTAAATCACAGCAAACATATTAGTTTTAGGTATAAATAATGAACCATTAATTATTTCTTTCTGACCAGACTTTTCCTTTAAAGTTGTGCTTGTTTATTAAAAAAAATTATAATAATCTCACACCTTTTGAGCTGCTTTATGTTTCATTTTTTAAAATTAAGTGAAAGTAAAATTCTATATAGATTCTCTCCTCTGGATGAAAATAGTTTCACAAACACTGACCTGTAGGCTTTTATCAAAATCCTTTATATTTTTATCTGAAGCGAATACTTCCTGGTTTGATTGTTGTTCTTGATGACTTGTGTGTTTCTTCCTGATATGGTGGATATTAGCTTCTGGACTGGGATCTTATCAAATAATCAACTCTGTGATATAAACAATTTGATGCAATTACACAAACATGCTAGAAAAAGACATGCTAGCAATTTGCTAGCCTTTTTTCAAGCTAATGCACTACATAGAGCCAAGCTTTTATTTCCTATTAGATCAGCCAGAATCAGCCATTTAAAAGCCGCCAGCATCACAAGTCTATCTGAGAAATAAAGTCTGGATTACACAAAAACAGGACGCTACATCACAGTTTGCATCCACTCCACTAAAACGAAGAAATAAACAGTCTGACAGTATGTTGGAGCGACCTCTCCTGTATCTTAGGCTACGTTCACACTGCAGGCCTTGATGCTCACTTCAGTTTTTTTTGTGAAATCCGATTCTTTTTTTGCATTGCCGTTCACATTTCTAAATATATGCGACTTGTATGTGATCTCCTGTGTGAACTGCATTCATACAACGCAGTTGTCCCGCATGCGCAGTAGAGGACGCAATGATGTCACAAGCAGCGTGCTCTGTGTTGACGGAAGTAAACATAAATGGTAGTGCTGGAGCGCATCTAGCGATCTTTCCCACCCATAAAAATGCAATCTTTTCAAGATATTTAAACTAGTGCTGTCAAAATTATCGCGTTATTAACGCGTTAACGCAAGGCCATTTTAACGGCGATAATTTTTTTAACGTGAGATTTTTGTTAAGAGGCTGAAAAGTAACTTTCTAGAGCATAGACTACCTCCATCTAGTAATGTCGATCTATTGATTTTGATGTATTGATTGAAAATTGTTCATTATTATCTTGGTTAATTAACATCTAATGTTAACTCTACTGCATTTTATAGCAGTAGGGTAAAATGCTTGTATTTGTTCAAAAGACTGTATTGACTGTAAAGACTGTCTTTTACATCAGCCTGTTGTCAGGGCCTTTTTTTTGGCTACATATTTGTTATTTTTTGCTACATGCCTCCCCATCTTCTTGCCATATGTTTCTATGGCATAAATCAGTATCTGTGACCTGTTTTCATTTTAAAAAAAGAACATTGGCACAAACCTAGCCTGTATGTATTTTTTTGTATGTCACCGAGAGTATTTAAATGATTTTCAATCAGGAAAAAATGTGCGATTAAAATGCGATTAATCGCGAGTTAACTCAGGCATTGATGCGATTAATCGCGATTAAAAAAATTTAATCGATTGACAGCACTAATTTAAACATAAATACTGCTTTCTGCATCATCGTCCGCCATGGTTGTTGTTTTTCTTGCTACTTCTTCATAGCAAGACCTAGAATACAGACCTTTGTCGGGTATTAATGGCATTCAGGTTGGATAAATGCGACCTGGCCGTTCAGACGCAGGTCGCATTTGAAAATATGAGATTCGTATCGGACCACATAGCCAAGCGGCCTGAGTCGCATTGGAAAAAATCGGATCTGAGTTGTTCAGACTGCAATAAAAAGATCAGATCCAGGTCGCATATGGGCCAAAAAACAGATTTGGGTCACTTCAGGCTGCAGTGTGAACGTAGCCTTATAGGTTTACTGTCAGGGTTCCTGTGTGTGATTGAGTCTTCATACAGTGCTGGTTTGTTGTGTTGCAGAGGTAGTTTCATTGCTTTTAGTCTCTTACTTCCCTCGAGTATTTTCCCTAACGTTTACTGGCTTTTGTTTGGTTTTCAGTATTTATTTTTTTGCCTCTGTTCCCCTTGTACCTTCATTAAATCATCCAAACTCATCTGTACCTTCTCCTCTCTGCATTTGGGTCCTCAAAGCCACCACCCAACCTGACATTTACGTCTCTTTTCATTAGAAATCATACATTTCCAACATATTTTATTCTTATGCAACGGATAAGCGTGACATAAAATGGATGAATGGATATTTTGTTCAGGAACCTTATGGTTCCTGTTTTTGCCATACAGTTTAACCCCTTGAACCCTACGGACCCACCGGCGGGTCCAGCTGCTACATGACCTCGTAATTTTACCAAACCCCCAGTATTGATGTAAAAAACACATTTGGCACAGTTTGGTGACATTTATGGATAAATGTGCCAAAATGGCCTCTCCGCCTAAGAAATTTCTCACTAATACCATTCTAAAATAAATATGATTCATCTGATTGAGTCCAACTTTGGTATATTTTTACACAACATTTAGATTTGAAAGTCTGTACTACTTTTGTGTGCTATAAATAATATTTTGGTAGTGTTTTGCAATGTTTATTTCAAAGAAAATTTTGGCGAGGTTCAAAAAATGCAAAATATTTTGTATTTTGTCCCTAATATTTCAGGCAGGGTCAAAGCTACAATGGTGCTGACACCAGAAAACCATTCTATGACATCTTACCTTTACAGACGTACCAAAAGTTTCTTCTTAAATCTAATAGCTTTGAGACTATAAGTTATTTACTTTTGTGTGTTTTTGTCAGGCAGAAACTTATTTATACCCCCTTAGGGTGTAAGAGGTTTTAACAATGTATAAGGAAAATATTTTTCTTTTTTTTAACTCATCGTATTAGCCCTACTTTTATGGAAAGATCTTCCTATTGCAAGAGAAAACTCAGTCTTATAAGAAAATATACGCTTATAAATTCATCTTAAATTGATCACGGATCAATTTTAAGATTAATTGATTGACAATTATTTTGGATAATAAGTTAATCTTTGATCAACATCAATTAACTTTAGATAAATCCATTCATCAATAACTGGAATCCCTAGTTCTGGATACATTCTTGTCTTCTGAGTGCGTTGCGACGAACCGTTTGTCAGCTTCTGTTTCCCACCTGCTTTGTGAGAACCTGACCACAGTGGATTTAGATCCAGGGAGTTTCCTGACCACAGGTTCAAAGTGTCATCGCTCTGAATCACGTATTATTTTCATCTTGTGACACAGAGCTAGACCACGCGTGATAGTCCACAGACCATTATCAGAGCTTCTGCATTGTTATTATAAGTTCTCCCAGAGGACTTTTTGCTTCTATTCTTTATGGACTGCAGTGTTCAGGATTGAGAGGAAGCTGATAGATGTGGGTGAGCAGTAAATCCACTTATAGATTGTATCAGGAAGCATCGCCATTGGCCCCCTACAGGGCTAGGGGGAGCCCACTTCAGTAACTCGCATTGTTTTCTTTCCAACAGTCCCAAACAATCAGAACAGAGAAGCTAAGTTTAAACCCCTCGTCTGATGTTCAATCCTAACGTCCAGCAGATCTTAAGTCTGTCCTTCATGTATTCACAGGTGTGTCCTCACCCAGACTTTACTCTGTACTCTCTGCAGCAATACACATTAGTTGCATTCAGGATCTTGCATTAGAACAGCTTCCCCTCTTGTTTCGAAATCTACCAGATTCAGTTTTATTCTTTCCGTTTCTGACCTCATCTATTCAGTTCAATTCAGTTTATTTCTATAGCGCCAATTCACAACACATGTCATCTCAAGACACTTTACAGTCACCGCATTATACAGTCACATTGATTAAAAGTTTTCTATCAACGGAAAACCAGTTGATTGCATCGACTCATTGACTCTTCAGCAATCCCTCACACTAAGCATGCTTGTAGCGACAGTGGAGAGGAAAAACTCCCTTTTAACGGGAAGAAACCTTCAGCAGAACCAGGCTCAGTGTGAGCGGCCATCTGCTGAGGCCGACTGGGGTTCAAGGAGACAGAAGCAGATACAAAAAGCAGCTGTAAAAGGCAGGAAACACACGGCCAGGCAGACAAGCTCTGAGCCAGCTAGCATGTCAGAGGATGAAGAGGGCACATACAGTTAGTCACAGTCAGAGAAACAGGACTACACTGGAAAACAGGCCTGTAAACAAAGGTGTTGATGGCAGCAGCATAGCTGATATTGCTCTCCAGGATGAAGTTATAAGAAATCATTGCATTTTGCTCGATCATCCTTCAAATATGAAATCGACCCCTATCTCTGACGGAGGACTCGTCTCTTGTGCAATTTGTGTGTTCTAACTT